TCACTATATCGGTTAATGAAGGTGGACGTCACTATATCGGTTAATGAAGATGGACGTCACTATATCGGTTAATGGAGGTCGACGCACTATATCGGTTAATGAAGGTCGACGTCACTATATCGGTAAATGTGTGGGTTGTTTTCACCCAGGCCACAGTAAATACATTTCTTGTTAAATTCTTCTTAGATACTACATTGAACTATTCAATAATTCCATATAAATATAATTTCTCTTCATTGGCAAGGCATTCTTAAATGCATTATGGGGCATTAGAGAATCTTGTTTGTAGGGAGGGAAGTTTCTTGTTTCATGTTTAACGCCATATGACCGCGGCATATAAATAATTGCGCATGGTCCAGACATATTGTAGTATCGTGTACGATAACACTTAATCAACCAAGACACTTGAGGCTTATCGTCCTATCCATTTGATCGTCTCTTACGACCAGCATAGGTTGGCGGGGACCTATTCTAGCCCGGTTAACTCACGAAAGGTAAAAAGGAATGTATGTAATGTGGTACATGTAAGTGTTTTTTTGTCAACACATTAAGACGGCACGAATTCTTTTCACGATTATCAATACCAAATGATGTCATGCGATTTCGAAAATAACGTTGTTTGTTTATTTGTTGTTTAACGCCGCACTCAGCAATATTCCAGACAATCCAGTGATTGATATCATGAGCATCGATCCACGCAACTGGGATCGATGACATGCATCATCCAAGTCAGCGAGCCTGACCAACCGATGCCGTTAGTCGCCTCTTACGACAAGCATAGTCGCCTTGTATGGCAAGCATGGGTTGCTGCGAAAATAATGTAACAGATAGAGTTTAACACTTTATTTCAGGAAAATACAAATGAATACGTATCACAGAAATATCATTTGAACAGGGTATTGCAAACTTGAAGTTGAAATATACTCTCAAATTACGTCACATATGTCAAAGTAGTGTCTGTCGTCAGGCTGAGTGGCTGCGAGACTATACATACACATACAACCAAAACATATTCCGATTTTCATACCCTTTTGTGACAATATCAAATAGGTACAAAAATATCCACATATTCTTAAACTTTATATGGAGTCGAACCTCGTTGTGTCAAAGTCGTGGGGATCTGGAAAAAAGTTCGAATGATCCGGGGTTTGAGACATCAGGAATAATGTAAGCTTAATTTGGATACTTGGGACGCCCAAATGAGTTCGAAACAAACGGGAATCCCACACATCCGAGTCCGACACAACGAGGTTCGACTATATATGTACATCTCCCATTTGCAGTTGAATTATATGGAACCCCAACTCCCAATGGTGTTAACAACATAACCGGGGTTTAAGATTGTGGGCGCCGTTGTACAAAACCCAAGCGCTACGACTGTCGTAAGTCTATGTAAAAGGTATGGGAGTTACGATCAGTTAGCGCTAAGATCGCATTGTGCGACGGCACCCAGTTTTTGAGCAGTGTCTTCACGGCCTGCTTCTCGGATAGCCTTTTCCCGACATGTAAACAATGCAGTTCAGCACAAGTGGTTCCACGGGGAATGTGATCATTTGAAAACTTAAAAAACCCAACTCTGTTATAAATTAAGACAACAAACAAAAGCGTCATCTTTAGAAGTATCTTGAAGTAAAAAGGAATGTAATAACTACGTGCTAGGACGAAAAGTGAATTTGAGCAAATAGTCGCCAGTATTGCCTACGCAGCACGTGAAAAATTCTGAAATGTTTCTGGAAAACTATTAAGGGAGTACACTTCTTCATTCATCTCTGTGGATGACTATTTAGAACAAACGTTCAATCCTGAAAATATATACAGAGCAGAGTTGAATTATATCGTTAAGGAAATTAATTCAGATCATATCAGCTCCAGATGTGAGCAGTGCAGGGTGTGTGGCGAGATATTACTAATGCAGAAAAAAATTAATGCAGTTAAAAAACAATAGAACACTCATGTTCAATGTTATTGTTATTTAGTAACAGTACTGTCAATATCATACCTGACACCGGACAGTTCCCCGTAACTTGGAATGTAGGATTAATGGTACCCTTAGATAAGGAAGGAAAATATTAATGAATTAACTTGTAAATCTGGTCCTAAACGTCACGAGGGGAACATGTGTAGAGGAAACACTATCAAGCGCTATCAATGGTATTCTTTTCTGATATAGCTATCCTTGCTGACACTGTCATTTGAATTGAAAGAAAACTTGATATACTGCATGCTTTTTGCAAAACATGGAGCGTCAGTATCATTATAGATCTCACACATGGAGCCTTAGTATCATAATAGATCTAACACATGGAGCCCTTGTTTCATTATAGATCTAGCACATGGATCCCTTGTATCATTATAGATCTCACACATGGAGCCTTAGTATCATTATAGATCTAACACATGGAGCCCTTGTTTCATTATAGATCTAGCACATGGATCCCTTGTATCATTATAGATCTCACACATGGAGCCTTAGTATCATTATAGATCTCACACATGGAGCCTTAGTATCATAATAGATCTAACACATGGAGCCCTTGTTTCATTATAGATCTAGCACATGGATCCCTTGTATCATTATAGATCTCACACATGGAGCCTTAGTATCATTACAGATCTAACACATGGAGCCCTTGTTTCATTATAGATCTAGCACATGGATCCCTTGTATCATTATAGATCTCACACATGTAGCCTTAGTATCATTATAGATCTAACACTTGAGCCTTAGTATCATTATAGATCTAACACATGGAGCCCTTGTTTCATTATAGATCTAGCACATGGATCCCTTGTATCATTATAGATCTCACACATGTAGCCTTAGTATCATTATAGATCCCACACATGGGGCCTTAGTATCATTATAGATCTAACACATGGAGCCTTAGTGTCATTATAGATCCCACACATGGAGCCTTAGTACCATTATAGATCTAGCACATGGATCCCTTGTATCATTATAGATCCCACACATGGAGCCTTAGTATCATTAAAGATCCCACACATGGAGCCTTAGTATCATTATTGATCTAACACATGGAGCCTTAGTATCGTTATAGATCTAACACATGGAGCCTTAGTATCGCTATAGATCTAACACATGGAGCCTTAGTATCGTTATAGATCCAACAGAAGTAGTTGTGTTACATATAGGAGAAAACACTTCTCGGTTTTGGTTGAGAGTAGACTAACTAACTGGTTTCAACACCATTTGACAGACACACAATATAAGGGGTCAACCGATGTCGAGGGGTACATGATGCGATGTACCCTATGTGCCCCGAGCTACTCATGCGAGATAAACAAGTTACCTAAGGTGTGGTACGATTGATTTCTCAGCGGCGTACATGAGCGTGCTACATGGAAATTAATTGCTCGCTCCTTAACCAATCAAAGTACACTAAGTAGCTATTTTTATTATTATGGAAAGGAATGTTTCGCTTTTATTTCCACATTAAAGCAAATATTTTTTCTCATATTGTCCGGATTGTAATCCCGATGCAGAAGATGATTACAATGTATTATTAGAAAGTCTTAAGGATGTCGTCTTCAAAGAAAATTCCATACCTTACTGTTACATTAAAAATCCAACGATGCACAAATTAATAAACCTTTCACAAGACCCATGACATAAGTATAAGGTAGCCTGTTGTAAATATGTTGTAAAGGCTCAGGCACTATGTATATTACATATGTTATACACATCAAGTATTGCAGGCCTCAAGGCCATATACATCAATAAAGGTATTCTGATGTGGATGCTCTGAGTCCCCAATTATATTGCTGAATATTCTCCAGGCGGCATAGAACCATCCCACTCACACACTGCTGCAGTGTTACGTTGAGTCGTAATGTAAATACATTCATTTATTTATGGTATGGCTGACACACAACCAATATCCAAACAACATAAATACTAATTATTTACAAGATCCTATGAATATCCGTTAGGGTTGTATATTAAAACAAGAGTCATCAGAGAGATGACATATCCCCCCCCGGCAGCTGTCTGTAAAGTAACCACTAGTAAATGTGCAATTCTGTATGTAATGAGTCAACAGTTGAATGTTCTTTAAGAAGCATACATTGTTTACCCACTGAATGGTTTTCAAATTCTGGCCCGGAAACGAACCCGTTCCCCAATGGAGTCTATGTCCTACTTCATTCCATAAAAAAATTAAAAAATAAAAATTAGAAAAATCCCAAAATATCAAAAGGCACCACTTCAGTATGTGCCTGATAGATTTGCCAAGTTTCGATCAAATACACTGAATGGTTTTCGAAACCCCATCCCCAATTGAGTCTATGTCCAACTTCATTCCATAAAACTATTAAAAAAATATAAACAAAAAAATCCCAAAATATCAAAAGGCACGACTTCAGTATGTGCCTGATAGATTTGCCAAGATCCGATCAAATACACTGAATGGTTTTGGAATTATGCCCAGGAAACGAACTCCATCCCCAATTGAGTCTATGTCCAACTTCATTCCATAAAATTTAAAAAAAAATAAAAAATAGAAAAATCCCAAAATATCAAAAGGCACCACTTCAGTATGTGCCTGAAAGATTTGCCAAGTTTCGATCAAATACACTGAATGGTTTTGGAATTCAGCCCCGGAAAAGGAAATGATTACGGACGGACAGACGGACGGACAGACAGACTGGCTGATCGCTATATCCCCCCGCATTATATGCCGGGGGGATAACAATATATACAATAATTGTAACTGGTTACAAAATTCAGCTACTGAATCACCAACCTGACAAGAGGATAGGGAACATAAAGTATTTCTATCTATGCAAGAAAAAATAATTACCAACATTCTAAAATGATGTCATCGCTTTGAGAGACATCAGCTAATGAGAGAAATAATTAAGTTTTCTTTTTGTTTGTTTGTTTGTTTGTTTGTTGTTTAACGCTGCACTCAGCAATATTCCAGCTATATGACGGTAGTCTGTGAATAGTCAATTTGGACCAGACAACCCAGTGACTGATATCATGAGCATCGATCTACGCAATTGGGTTACGATGACATGCAATAACCAAGTCAGCGAAACTGACCACCCGATCCCATTAGTCGCCTCTAAGGACAAGCATGGAATGCTGAAGACCTATTCTAAGCCGGATTTTAACGGGTCAGAAATTAATAGACAGCACTTAATATACGAAAAACTCTAACAATGCAATATGTAGATAGAATGGAGTAGATTATGTAAGCTTAATATAAGTACTTTGCCAAGAAATTAAGAAATCATGATAAAACCGAGTTACATATATGAGTAAATATAATCAAATAAAAGTCAAATTAAGAAATAAGTGAATAACTGCCTCCGCGCGGCCTAACATGTTGCTGTTCAGATAGTTTTTGAACCTAAAATGAATTTACAAGTGAGATGTTTTCAAGGTGCAGGCTTATCTTTATTTCTCATTTAATGTTGAACTTATTGTCTCGAAATCTCATTATTGTACCTTTCATCTCGACAGTAATCACTGAAATGATTGAGTATCCAATCCGAACACTGCCTGCATATAAAGTTCTGTCTATAACGTATATTTTGCAAAAATGAGTCACGAAACAACATGATCGGAGAATGGACTACAAAGTTAAAAGTCAATTGAATAATATAGGTAAAGGGCCAAGACAATGTTAATCAATTTCGTCATTTGTGTCTACTTTGATTTTTTAAAAACTTGTCATTTGAATAGGTTGCACAGGCAACTTTATGTTTATCAAGCATAAGGAAACAAAATAAAACCGAAAATATAGTAAGATATGTAAACAGTAAAATATGGAAATACAATTGTAATACAACAAAGTTGAACAGATGATAGTCAGTTAAGGTCCATCCATGTCACGTTTGCATGTACAGTCTGTTTAGGTTTCCCTGAAGAAGGAACTTTGACGTCTCACAGGTGGGCACCGTTGTCCTTCAACAACACATCCTTGTTCCTCATATCTCGTTATCAGTTGTCTGAAGACATCATCACTCCGCAGCAGATTCACGTTGCCTTTAACAAACATTGAACCGTGTAATCAAACTAGTAAACATAAAATCAAATCAGTTTAGGTGTGTAATTTTACATGTACCTCGTTTAAAATTGAAACAAAACTTTATGAAAGTTAAAAAGCAGATGCAAGGTACACATATAATTATTTTCAAACATATGCGGATAGCTGCTTACTCACCTATGATGATCAACCCTTTCCTGGCTCGTGTGAGCGCCACGTTGATCTGGTTTGCGTCAGTGATGAAGCCTAGGTTCTGTCTGCGCCATCCGAGAGTCGGCCTTCTCTCTATCTTGTACGGGGGGAGCGACCTAACTGTGCTGAGTATCACATAGTCCCATTCACCTCCTGTAACACAAAAATTCATATTACAACTTAAAAGAACATTTTCATGACAAAATTAATTTTGTTTAGGATATGCTGACCACTGTGAAAAGGTCTGGTATGGCTTTGTAACGAACCATATGGGATGCATATGAAGAAACCAAGAATAATAATCATGGTGACATGGATTTTAGCCCACGATAAATCAGATCCAATTTCAAGTGAATTTGAGTTATGTTCTAAACTGAAAATCATAACCTTTGGAAGAATGTCATATGCGGAGGTATTCCACTCAACCATTGTAAATGTTTTGTCGGTTCCAACAAGTAAATGCCATATTTCCAATTTAAGAAACAATATTCATGAAATAGTTTACACCTATTTACGAACAAAGAGGGTGTAAACCAAACTGGACATTCAACCAACAGTCGATGACTACTTGAATAAATCCTTTCATTTGTAATTGTGGATGACAACAAACCTTGACTTGCAACTACTGTGTTCACGTTGACATAGGAATAGTAACGTGTCAGTTTCTCCTTGATTTTAGAACACTGGGCATTGTACTGGGACATGACATTGATAGTGCTAGGATCTATCTTCTCCTTTTCCTTGAGCCATCTGAACACCTCCTCCTGAATTGAACATATGAATATGCTATCTTCAATAGTAATAGCAGTATAAAAATGAAACTATATTTTAAGCACACTCACGCACACACACACGCACGCACGCACGCACACGCGCACCAACGCACACACGCATGCACACACACACACACACACACACACACTCCTGCTGCACTCATACTAGACCAAGCTCTTATCCTTATTTACTCCCAAATACTAATACGTAATGATACATCCAAATATTGGCTTCATTCTGCCTACTCTCAACGCTACTCACCACGATGTCAACTTCGGCCTTGTTGGATCTTGACCGTTCATTTCCCTCTTCTGCAGACACGCTCAAAACATGTTCTGTACCCTCCACATGCCACAGCAAATATGGAATACGTGATACTGGCCACAGTCTCAGGGGTTGATCAACCCGCCACCACTGTGATCTGCCTGTCTTCAATTGCCCTTCATAGAAGATGTCAGATGGGATCTGGCAGATCTTTGGGTGCTTTTATAGTGAAATGAAAAAAACGCCATATCATGAAACTACCTCTCTCACTTCAAATTTCATATTTTAACCGCCAATGTTATATATATAATTTATCATAGAATATAATTTTCTGAAAACAAAACCAGATATATGCAAATAAAGTGTGGACTCATTCTTTTACATTTAAGATGTCATATTTTAAAGTATAATGTAGTCCATACACTCCAGCTTACACATTTAAACTTTGTAATTATCACTTACCATACGGTACTGGGTGTCCAGGAATGAGGCGTCAGAAGCATATCGTTCAAACAGTGACTGGGTAAGGCCAAGATCAGCAGCTTCTCTGCACTGCACAATTGGACGCAGTTGCTTGTGGTCTCCCATCAAAACTACCTGCTTGGCCTCTGTGGCGATAATGGGCACCATGGTCTGTGGCTCGGTGCTCATCGCAGACTCGTCAATTATCACTTGGAATACATTTGTAGAGGTAATAACCTTCATGTTGCCACCAACTGCGCATGTGCTTAAGATGACATCGCATTTCTCAAGCTCTTCACAAGACGCTTTGAAAATCAGCTTGCTGTAATATTTTATGTTGTCAGAGGTGACATATTTGTGATTTTTTTGAAAAAACGAGTCAAAAAAGTTTATTTCCTTTGCATAAGGTTTGCCTTGCTGTCTGATCATGTGATGAAGAGATATCTGACGTAGCTTTTGGTCTGACTTTAAGCCATGGAGACTTTTCCTTGACAAAAAGTTGCGTTTTGGCACAGGGTAATCTTGTGACACAATATTCTGTCCATACACTCGGATGATTTTGGGGCAGATGTTCCCAAGGCGTTTGATTAGTAAACCTAAAAACAGTAAGGAATGATTACAATATTAGAATATATGTGTATATTACTGGTATATATGTGGTATGTGATTGTAACCCTGAACAGTGAAGTGAACTGAACTGTAAAGTCAAATGGAACACCATGAGCAGGTGATCTTACAGAAAAAAAACAAAAACGTGTGACGTGTGCTTGTGTGATACAACCATACATGTATGACAATATGTTATAGCAACACAACATCACATTTGATACTCATCTTGATTCACTCATAACAGAATCTTATATATCCGAGTTTTAATTCCTACTTTCCATTCGAGGGCAATCATAAGCTACAATAACATTATACACACGTCCAACCAGATCCACAGACTTGTTTGAAGGTCCACAGAAGAGCACCTGTTTCTTCTGCTTGTCTTTTTTTTTCTGGTGCATAATCATATTGATCTTCTCAAACAGGTATATCAACTTTATGCCCGTGTATGTTTTTCCAGTTCCTTAAAGTGAAGACATGATTGAAATTACAAATATATGGAATTGCAGAGTGCTTATTATGCTACAGTAGTTATATTCCCGATGTCTTCATTGTAATTTGTGCATTCTGATTAGCTGAACTGGTCTTGTGTAATTGCATTCATGTATATCCCAATGAAAAAAACAACCACACTGACTGCTTTCACTAAAATGGAAGGCCAGTGAATCCAAGTTACAGTCGAGGGGATTCCCTTTGTTCTCTGCTGTAGTATCATGCGCAGGATGTTTTAGCGAAATTCATGCATATTTATCGTCCAAACCACCTGAGCCTAAGGCTGAGAAGGAATAAAACAGCAAATTTACACACATCCTTGCTTGTATTCCACAAATTATATGTTTTGAGTTTCATTTCTAACTCTCATCCTTCAACAGTGTCTGAGAAATAATGCAAGCTGGCGGTTACTGACCATGTGATTTGAACCAGACGCCTTCTATATTTGTGCGTTTCAGTCTGATAGTTCCAGTTCTTCTCGCCTCTTGATTGATAGGTCCTATGCACTTTGTTTGAAGCTACTCTCAATTGATTGACTACTGAGTTAAGTTATGTGCATAAATTAAACAATCACCTATTAAATGTCACGCCACAGTATGTATTCCTACGGAATGTTAATCAATTTCGTCATTTGTGTCTACTTTGATTTTTAAAAACGTCTTTTGGTATGACGCGGCCGGGGATCGAACCCCAGACCTTCCGCTCTCTGGGCGGACGTTCTACCACTAGACCACAGAGGCGGTCACCTAAATCAATACGTGTTACTAATTTCCTTACATCCTGTCACTGAACAAATGTATTCAAATTCAATGGAACAAATACAATGACATCACTACCTGGTGGCCCTTGTATAAGAGAGAAACTTGAAGTAAGGGCTTGAGAAATGGCTTCTTCTTGCATATAATTGTTGGGAGGAAGCGCCCTGAGAGGGATTTCTTTGTCAATCTGATTGCCAACTTCTAACCGGCTGTTCTCTGAAAGGAAATTTGTGAAAAGGAAAGGTTCTGAATGATAATGTACATGCAGCTGCCAAATTGTATGTATGTAGTGGTCTAACACTTCATGTGGAGCAATCGTTTCATTGCCTTAAGGCTGACATGTTCCAAATTTTATTGATCTACAGTATTCTCGAAAGAAGGCGGTAAATACCTTTCTTAATAAGACCTCATCATGGGCCTGCTTAAATACTACAGCATATGAAAACAAACATCGGGTGCATTTGAAACTTACCCAGTTCTGGCAACAATCTATTCAGCGCAATAGCCACTGCTAAATCATTGTTTTCGCTGTGCAGGTGCTGAAGCATTGCCATTGTACGCCTGGAACAATGGATTTCTTAAAAAGTCAACACCTTTATCCTAATTTTTTTATTAAGCCATTCATCAAGCAAGCGTAGAAAAATACAAAGATGTTGATTACAGAAAACAAGCTAAATATGTTTTTTTTCATCTGTTACTGACGCAGCCTCAAGAAATCATTTATTCACCTGTCAACCTCTGACTTCATGATGATCTCTACCGTCCCTGAAGCTTTAGTAAGTAGGCACTCTGGAACAGGACCACTGTTGGAGTTCAGACTGAATCTGATGTCCACACGATCTGAATTGGCATCCTTCCCCCTTCGTCTAACCTTGAGTATCTGGGCATGTCCAACCCAGGTATATGAGTCTGTGTCAGAATTGGAGATGTCAAGATTATGTTCTGTTTCCTTCTTCCCTTTCTTCTGTTTTTTAGATGATTTTGTCTTCCTTGGAGATTCTGTCTCCTTTTCATCCGTGACTATAGCATGCTGCATTTCAACAGGTGCATTGGTAGTTTGAGGAATCGGGCATCTTATACACAGATAGTCAATAGATGATACTTTCCTCATTCCAGTATCTACAAGAGAATCATCTCCTTCTTTCAGTTTGTCTATAGATTTTCCACCAAATTCTATGCATCTCTCACGCATGAAGGTTCCTTGAAGCGTGAAACTTCCAGTGTAGGTTTTCATTGGACTCTGTTTAATGTCGATGGTGACATTGTTGATGATAACATTTTCTTCATTGGTAGCAGCAGTCATTACAGCATCCATCTCAAGAAGGGGCAGCCATGTCCTTTGATATTCAACAATGGATTCAATGGTTTTGTTTGTTGACTCGGTGGCATACTTGCTCAATACACCGACTGGGTCTTCTTTGTGACTTAGACAAAGATTGAGATTCTTACAAACATGAAACAACCTCACCTTTGGTGTCAACAAACCTCTATCGGGTTTTGCAACCATCTGAACCCTTATGACGCGCCCAGGGGAAAAACAGAGTGTGAACTTGCAGTGGTGAAAGTTTATAGTGCCATCTCCATTCTCTGAGGTCACCATGTCTCTGACAGGTGTTCTGTTTAGAGGATCCTGTCCTTCAGGTGAGAGCCTGTTCAACATCTTTTTCAATGCCTTGTCATCTTTGCTGAAGACCAACTTCAGCATCTTTGCCCATGTCTGTGTGTCAACATAGCAGACATGCTGATGAGGATCCACAATAAATGGTATCTGTTTTGGTCTTAGTGTATTGTGCCCTTCTGAATCCTGTGCGGGACATCCAGTGCAGTCATACAATCTTTTCTTCCATTCTCCTGTTACAATGATCTTTGAAGTCCATGGGTCCTTCATCTCTTCAGGTTTCTTGCTCAGATCCAGCAGATTAAAGGGCAACTCTTTACTTCTGATAGATATATTCCTTAATGATGGAATGCAAAGTTCTGCACCGCTGTCAGTAACATTGTTGAGAATGGCATTACATTCCATTGGCTTCTGAGATATCTTTGAAGCTTTTTTCAAAGCTTTGCATCCATTGCTGAAGTGATTCTGTCTGGATGTGGCATCGTTAACATGGGCACAAATGTCAGCTATTTCTTGTGGAGAATAGGGACAGGATTTCCCATCAAGAGCTGCATGCACCAGCCTGTGTACAACGAGGTCCACATATCTCCGGATAGGGGATGTGAAATGTGTATACATCTTTGTATTCAGAGAGAAGTGATTCAGCTCTTTTTCAGAGAGCATTGAACATTTGTATTCTGCAGATTCCATGATTTGTCGCCAGTGTTGAAGAGCAATTGCTTGGAAAGGGTGGACCTCATCTTTGCACATATTCCTTACAGCATTAGTCAGGGTTTCATCATGAACTCCATCAAGAATCTGAAGCCAGATGTTCTTCTGGACTGGCAAAGGCTCTTTTCTCACTGTGTTGCCCTTGGCTACCCAGTTCCCTGATGCCACCGTCCTGCCAGGTAAGACTTCTTGTCCTTGCAGGTTCACAACAAGGTCCAGGAACTTATCCTCACTCTGGACAAACTTTTGGACATCCTCGGTAGATGGTGGAGACTGACATCTGATGGGGATGGAATTTGGGAACTTCTTTCTCAACCACTGAGCAATGGATGTATTGGCTTTGATCATGAACTCTTCAATGAGTGCATGGGCTTCAATATTCTGCTCTATGATTTCAGTCTCAATAAATCTTGGATCTTCAAATGGAACAGCAAACCTAGAATCTTTAAGTCTGTCCTTTCTCAAGTTCTGGGCAATTTCATGAAGCAGTTTGATATTATCTTTCAGAGTTTGTGAGACGTTTTCAACTTCTTCATCATTAATTAACTTCTGAGCATTTTCATATGATAACTTGCAGGAAGATTTAATCTTTGTTTTCATGACTGTTGGTTCCTTCACAAGCTTTCCTGATTTTTCAATGTGAAAGAAAACGGACAATGCAAGTCTTTCTTCATTTGGTAACAGACTACACATGCCCTCACTCAATGGTTCAGGCAACATGTTGCGAGTCCTGGACTCGCATGGATAGAAGCTTGTGGCTCTCTTCTGTGCCTCTCTGTCAACAGGGTCCCCTTTCTTCACCACTGAGGCCACGTCAGCAATGTGGACTCCAATCACATAGTGGCCATCCTCGACAGAGATGCTCAAAGCATCATCTAAATCTTTCGAATGTGCAGGATCTATTGTGAAAACTTCAAGCTCTGTGCAGTTCACTCTGGCATCAGCAAGGAGAGTGTCTCTCTTCTTCAGAACTTCTCCAGTATGAGCAACTGTGTCTTGGGGAAAGTAGGTTGGAACCTGATATTGCATTTCCAGGATCTTGAGACCTCCATTGAAGTCGGTGCCACACTCCAAGATGTCTACAACTGCTCCAAGAGGGTACACATGGTGGATGCCCCAGGTGAGATAGACGACCAGGAACACATACTTTTCTTTCAGCCCAGGCTTCACATCAAAATATGTCTTGAAAGAAACCTGTCTATTCTCATTGATTTCATACATATCAATTCGATGCTTTGACATTGCAGGGTGATTTTTCTTAGTTACTCCATTTAGGGCATGCATCTTTAGAACTGTACGGCAAAGGGGACGCATCAAGAAACCTTCATCATTATCACAAGTGCAGGCCATGACAGGGCAATTCCGATCCCTAAACTTCCTCTTCAGGACACCAACAACTTGCCCATACACTTTGTCATCTTCCTGCATCTTTCTTAGAACCCTTACTTTGTTAGAATCATTACTTGGTTTAGGTTCTGACAGTACCTCTACACACACCTCATCATTGTTAAAGGTTTGTCCACACTTAGACCTCCCATGAATCTCTATGTCATGGTAGGTTTCAGTCGCAGTCAACACTTTGCACACAGCTTTGTGAGGTGATTCTAGTACGAGCCTACATCGCTTGTACCGTTCAGGTATCATTGCCATAAGTTGTTCTAATTCTTCCACTGGTTTCATTTGCTTGTAGAAAGGAGCTCTGGTCTGTGTGTAAGTCCTTGCTTCGAATTTTGTAACGTCCACGTTTGTCTCCATTCCACAGGAAATACTTTTAGAATTGTGATGGTTGTCTCTGCTTTCATCAAACCAAGTCCTTCCTTGTATCTCAGGTTTCACCTTAGTCACTTCAGGTTCTTCCTCGTCACCTTCAGGCTCTGGAAGTTCGAAAGCATCTTCAAGATCTGACTCCTCTTCTCCACCTGATGAGTCCCATTGTTTGTACTGCAGAAATGAGTTATTGTCAGCATTCAGCTTCAGGGAGGGTTGCGTTGTAGGATTAGATTGGGATAGCGGAGAACCTTTCAACCAGTCAAGCTCACTAACTTGCACTTTTTCAACAGAGTTCCGTGTTGCTAGTTCACATGAAAGAGAACATACAAGAATCTACATTCATGCTGCATATATTTTTTCATGTGGACATTATGAACTGATCAAGTCTTTCCTCAAAAATGAAACAACGTCTGGGATCATATTATTGAACCACTGTAAATGTCACTTTAATCAAGGCACAATCTAAAACATGTCTCATGGATTTTTCTCAATTTGAATTCTTATAAAAATAACTTACGTCTTGAACGTTTCTTCTTTTTGACATGGCTATCCTTCACACGTTGCGCTTGATTAATCTGTATCTGAACAACATTATGATGCAGTAGTAAACATTAGGTTCAATTGTAAAGACAAGTCCTTGTAAGAATTGTGTTATTTATGATGATTATATACTTATGTTTTGGGGCAATAGAACCAGATAGCGTCTCTAAAACGTCCAGTTAGTTGACAGTTGGCAGTAAATATGAAAAAAAAGCCATGAAGTTCTACACCTTACCAGAACGTTTCTATATTCAGTATATAAGAATGGAAAGGTAATTTCATGGTAAAGAAGAATATGAAAAAGAAATAACACACATCATTGCTTAACAGATATCCTCACAACATGTCCTTGAAATTAGAAAACGATACACACATAACAGAAACTCAATATAACAAGTCATGACACTACTGGCAGACACATAGTAGAAAATGGGGTTGTTGTTTTCAGAAAATAGGAATTGAATGAAGATCTTTTCCTTATTTATGCAGCTTGAACTAATAATTACACCCGACCAATCCCGCTTAAACTATGGCTGACAGAACCATGAAGGCAAAGGGCACGTGCACAGTTTTCTCTTCTCTTTCAACTTGAATCTGTACCACCAATACTTAGTGTAAACCGCTTGATATACAGATACAACCAATTCTTTTGTTTGGAGCAGAGATTGCTTGGAGCAATAACGAGCACGTACATAGTTAATTTTATGACATGAATGAGGTAGGAATCCACTGTAATTTCTCAACTATAGATAATTAAATCAAAATATCTAATATACATGAGCTATGTTTAACAGAAAAAGAAGCATACATGCTACAGGTAGACATAGGTAAACGAGTGTTTGATATTTGGAAAATAGTTTTGTGGAATGGCATTGGTCTATCTCTGGATAAATAAATGAATTGTGAAAATATACACCCGGCAAGGTTAGACTAGGTTCAACAGAAATTATATCCAATATTGAAAGCCTTAAAGATAAACATCTGCATTAAATATTTGTTTGTGATATACTTTCTCCCTTGTGACTCGAAAATAAATTATATCTAATGTGGAATAGCCATGGCTAAATCCATCTTGTGTCTCACATATGATTTCGAATAAAATGAAAAGTTTAGAATTGATGTATACATTTGCCTACTGTTTTGCAGAAAGTGATGCCTTTTTCATGTAACTTTTTAACTTTGATATATGGTAAATAAAACAAAAACATATTGCATTGTATATTATGTACCTGAGGAATGTTTATGTTCGTTCCAATCATCCAACCAGGATCTGGTTCAGTCGACTGATTCTGAGCAGATGATATTTTCTCCTTCAGGGTATCAATGAAGTCCTGGAGTTCCAGTACCGTTTCCCACTGGTCTATCTCCCCGTCCTCTTTCTCCTGCAAGATAAACATGTAGATAATACCCATGTATGATGGCGTAGTTAAGTAACTGTTACAGTGAAATACTACTGGCAGCATTTTAGAATAATGACAAAAAGACACATGAAAGTAAGAATTAAATATGAATATAAGGGAAAATATGAACATTCATAAATTCAGAATTCGCATATTACCTTACACATAAAGCAGTATCTCCAACTTCATTTCATCATTTGACTGATGTTTTACAATTATGTTAACTCTCAGAACATAATAAGGGGTTACCGTCACACATTTCACTGCAATCTCAAGTCTGTTCAGTGCTACGCCATATTGTCTCTCCTTGTAAAGAGCTTTTGCCCAGATCTTAAAGGGAATGTAACTTGTACATTCCTCCAATTCAGAGGCTGGAATCATAGTTACATAATTAACATATGCAACTGACCAAAAATTCACCAATCTCAAAATATTCCAAATAAACAAAAGTGAAATTGGAATACAAATGCTCTAAACGAAATAGTATTACCACACCAAACAATTAAAAAATAATGTGAACTGGCCAAAGGTTTATTTACTCATTATTGATTGGAAGGACTACTGCAAATCAAGCTATGATTTATTAGCGTTACCTTGTTGACACAGTGTAGTACAGAGTTTGTACTGCTTCTAAAAACAGAGTAAAAAAGATAACTCATTATCAACGTTTCAGCTTTATTTCATGACATATATCCTCTAATGGAGTAACTGACTAATTTTATTTGTTTGTTGTTTTGCGCCACACTCCGCAATATTTCAGCTACACAACGGCGGTAGATGCATTATCATGTCTGGACTAGACAATCCAGTGATCGACATCATAATCATCGATCGACTGATTCACTGAATCCGGATCTTCACGGGTTGAGTGAAACAATATTGCATTCTCAACTGAACGTTAAATGAAGATTGTTTTACGATGCTTCAGCTATCTTGAAACCATTCACTGCGATCGTTTAACGAGTTCTTGATGACCGCTTTTTAACCATCACGTTTCAAATTTTATGTGTTTGGACGTTTTGTTGTGATTATAACCATTGTTGCAAGCAGTCCCTTTGAATAATTAACTTGTTCTCATCCACTATGGCTCCCATATTGCCGATGCGTTGTTAAAAATTAACTCAGAAGTGATCTTGGCATGTGCAATTATGTCTCACCGCTTGAAAGCTGCATCTTGCCAGTAGAACTAGCAAGTTAGCCCTGATTCTTGTGTTTTGGTCCTCTGTAAACGAGTTGGCCATTACATTGAATCCTCGTATCAGATCCAGGCACAAGAAGTAACAAAATCCGGGATTGTTCTCATATTGTTCAATGGCCAGATATCTCAAGTCCACCAGTAACGCTATTGTCGCCTGTAACATAAGAAAAAGACCCGACTTCCACATGGTTCATAATATCATTTAGGATGAGTGAGTTTATCGCTGCTTTAAACAGTATTTCACGGTTCGGTGTGTAATAGGTGAGGTGAAATTAGGCATAACGATTAATGCACTTATATACTGACATGCATGCATGTGTGCCGATTTATAGTGATAGCCCACTGAGATACCCTGCCTCAGTTTAACACGAATACCCCACTCAGACACAGTATACTGACTCCTTGTTTTAGCCCCTTAATGCAGAGTGCAGGTTAACAACAACTACCACCTTTTAACGTATTTAGGTATGCCTTGGCCGGGGATGGAATTCCGGACCTTCAGCCCTCCGTGTTGACGCTCTACCACTAGACCACGGAGGCGGTCTTCATGTGATAGTGATACAGGCCCTAGACATTTAACGTGTTGGTGAATCAACAGTAATAGAATTCTGGCATGCCACTTAAATGCAACTCTGCAAAGTGAATTAAGGCATCAGACGAATGACAAATACGGTACATGATAGAGAGTAGATATTTCTTGTGACATAATATAACTATGTGAATATATTCCTTGATTTTGATTATAGGTATTATAGCCATGTAAATTGTATAATGACGGATATCGTAATACCTTTTCTTCCTTTTGCCACACAGATGTGTCAATGAAAAGGGTCCTCCATAAACCGTTGGTCGTGAAGGCACATGAACCAACCAAGCCTATTTCTTGACCAGGCTCCGGACTATCAAGGACAGCAGCAGCATTTACCAGAACCATTGCTGAAACCATGCCCGTTACTGGTTTCAGGTAATTATGTCTTAACAGTAGTTAAAAAACAATAACGTGGCATCAGCACTTTCTAGGCAGTATAGTAATAAAAGGAAAAGAAAATAGAAAAGATTGAAAGTATGTTCGAGCCGGTTATTTAGTTTTTCTTGAGCTTTGCCTTTATCATTGGAAACTACATAGATGTTACTTTCATATATGTGTCCCACATGCCATACTTCTATTAGTTACTAAGTGTAAAAGGACAACTTACTTTTATAGAAGAAATAGAATGCTTGAAATATGTAACAACTCTGAAAAGAAGACGAGAAATCAGAATGCGCATGACTCTGACTCAAAACAAATGTTCTTGTCATACGGGTTGTTGAGTATATGTATGGAACGAGTCACTCTTTACCTTTTATATTTATCTGAAAGCTACTTAAAGGTCATATGTAGAACAAGTGAGCGATTGTTGTTTACCTCTGCAGTCAGCAATATTCCAGCTATATCGCGGCGGCCTGTAAATAATTGAGCCTGGACCAGACAAACTATTGGTTCATATCCAGTGCTGTGAAAGCAGTCAACCAGTCACTTGGCTTGTACATCCATGTTTAGACGCCTTCTACAGCAAGCTTCTTGGTACCAATCATAACTCGACCTTCCTACGGTGTTCAATATTAAGTATAAACGTGTATGGTTCAAAATGAAACCTCGGGGCATCAAATACCCAATAACACCCGAAAAGCTCTCTCTCTCTCTCTCTCTCTCTCTCTCTCTCTCTCTCTCTCTCTCTCTCTCTCTCTCTCTCTCTCTCGGGGCGGTCGGGTAGCCTAGTTAAAGCGTTCTCATTCTAGTTCTCTCTCTATCTAGCTTCCTCTCTCTCATATCTCAGCTCACAGCTCGCTCTCTCTCTCTCTCTCTCTCTCTCTCTCTCTCTCTCTCTCTCTCTCTCCCTCTCTCTCTCTCTCTCTCTCTCTCTGCGGACTTGACACGAAACATTATATTCTGGGTACGCACCTGAGAAAGAGTATTACAAGTGTGAGAACAGATAAGTATCACAGCTTCTTCTTGCTGTTTTCCGTAATTGGTATTCAGCCTACTGAACCAGATGTGCCGTTTCAGAAGCGTCTGTAGCACCCAGCAATCTGTTGGTGTAAATCGTCCTTGCACAACTTTACCGTGTGCCTCGCCAATAAGTTCTTTGAGACTGGGACAGCTCTCCATCAACATCTTCAGTACGAGCTATGTGAAAAGGGTTTGCCATTTTAAAAATAAGCACTAAAAAGTAGGAAACTTCAGATGAATTACATGAATCTTAGGGTTTACATGTACAGTCAAAGTTTATATCATATTACATTTCAAGAAATTAACACAGCAACGTATGAGGAGAATTACACTTCTATTTGTAGGAGGTGTGCAGGAGGAAAATGTAAAAAACAGGGAAATTTAAAGTTATTACACGTCATTATCAATGATTATCATCTTGTTCTACTGACACGAAATACACATGTGCGCGTAATAGTGGAGATATGGCAGCGCTGTGTTACCAAATTCGTCAAGGAGATTGAGTCAAGATACTGTTCACGTGACTTCAGCAAACAACAGTCCCGCCTATAGTTGTGACACAAGCAATTCCGACGAGGGCTGTGACATCAGCGAGTCAGATTGCGATTAAGAATTATCATGAGACGACCCCTCTTATGCTGCCATTCCCTGTGTAGCACGTGCAGTACGTGATTGCGCTGTTCCCCCTACTGTTGTGCCAACCTCCGTTCAAGATGTCAACTTGTACACATACGAGTAACAACATGATAGTTTAAACAACTTTTTCCAGTGATGGGAATACAAATAACAAACAGCAGATATTGTTCGTTACAGGGTATTCACTGCATTTAATAGACTTTTCCTGAATTTGAGTTTTTTTGCAATTAATCGTTCTCATTTGGAGCCAAACGGACTGTAGTAAAACTCATAATAGCACAACGACTCAGCGGGTTCATACGGGCATTTACTTCAGTTCTCATTCATTGTCCTGTATATTAAAGAAATATGGACCAAAGTCAAACTCTGAAAATGACTCAACCTTCTCGGCACAGACCCAACTGCATCTGAGTTGTTTGATAGGCATGACTTAGATGTTGACGGATGAGGACATTTTAGTTGCCAATGGTGGTCCATGGCAGATGGAACAGTATCTTTCTATAATAGCTAATACCTTTGCTCTGGCTCGCCCGTCAGCGGAATGGTTACAGGTACAATTGCATCTGAATTGTTTGATAGGCAGTACTTAGAAGTTGACGGATGAAAAAGTTGTTATCCATAAGTTGTGTCTACTTTGACAATTGCATCTGTGATAATTTCTACACATTGAAATGAAATCATTGAGAAATGGGTATGGGATCCCCTTGAAACACATGAAGTGCAACTGTGATGTAAAAGAGGGCATTATAATTGGTCTATGGCAGATGGTTATATGGAACAGTATCTTTCTATAATAGCTAATACCTGTGCTCTGGCTCGCCCGTCATCGGAATGGTCAAAATGTTCCTGCAATTTGGTAATTACTACACGGGGATCTGCAAATGAAATATAATATGTTTAATAGACATGGACAAGTTTGTTGTGAACGTAACGGTAGAGGTTTACAATATAAATTAAAGACTACCAACATAAATGGAAGGTTTATTTTTACTCCTAATTAGTCCCCATTTTTTTTACCTCAGGTTACAAGTGCAATTTTGTTTCTGTAGACGAACAATTTAAGGCATATGTGTACAGTTTCTGCTGAAGGATTCGGATTTATATGTGGTATGTAAAGAGAGACGAGAGCACACATGCCTGGCGATATATCTTGTGCGAAGGCACCTGGCGACAATACAGTGATGTTTGGTAATTTGGCGTACGGGAATGAACATATTATTTATCAATTTGTTAAGGCCTAAAGTATCAAATTTGTAATATTGTAAAAAATCGGACAAGCAAGTTTTAGCTGAACGCTCCAACTTGGTGTAAGTGAATTTTTGAAAAAGAGAATGCTTTCCGTGTATATATTATGTTTCTTATTACCTCATATATAGATGAACTCATTGGCCTGTGATTGAACAATAATGTATGTGTATGATATCGTATTTATGTGATAAATAGCTTATCGGAATGTACATGTACAACGGTTCACGTGATATTTGCCAAGAAAACTAATTCAAACTTTTAACTGCTATTGCAAAAACATTTTGTCGGATATGTTCCAGAAATTAACGGCTGAAGTTGAAATGTATACAATATAAGTGATTACAGGGATTATAGACCCATAGATCTTACAACTATCGGTTACATCTACTTGGGTTGTCAGTCCAGATGTAAAGAGGCCATTATGCGACGACGTCGTTTTGGCCACACACAGCAGATATACCCATGAATATTTATTGAAAGGTGAGGATCCTCTGTTTTGTATCCCTTGTGATGAGAGAATCACGGTCGAGCATGTCCTGCTTAACTACTGATTTTGCCATTGCAAGAGATAGATGTTTCAGTGTAAAAACAGTCAATAACCTTTTTATCAGTTTTAAAGTAGCAGTTGAAGTAGCATAAAATCAGTGTACCCCTGAGAAGAACCACCTCCTTCAAAGTATATTTATTTATTACATACTTCAGTGTGAAAGACTGAGTTTCTGAAGTTAAGAAACGTGATATTTTCATTGCAGTGAACGTTACACTTGATATTTCACTGCAGTGAACATAACACTTTGACGGAACTATTGTCTCCCCTTAACTTGTCTCCCTTTATCGTAAACGTGAAGCCCGTACACATACTGTTGACGTCCTTTTTACATTAGTTCTCACACTGACAAGGCAAAATAATGACAGATGGTTATTTATGGAATTAATATCACTTCTTGCCCTTTATTTTTCTCTCGAAAATGTTTCGTTATAAACTGTTAGTTCCTCATTTAACTCGTCACTCGAGACTGTTTGTTTCGCAAAGCGTCATTTTTGTTACTTGACCAGTAAGTATTCTTTTGCTTCCAGCAGCGGTCTCCTAGATTTCAAGAATATTTTTTTGTTAAAGGTGATTTTGTATATAATCATTATCGAAATGTATGACAAAGAATTTTCGTGACCCTAGATATTTTTTTATGCTTTTGTTTACATTTCTTAAGATTTTGCAAACACGAAACTACTTTTTTTGTCGTAAATACAAGGGGTGGTGAACCGTCCCTGTGTGTTAGGTGGGGAGAATTAACGTTTCAAGGTTTTACATTTGTAATGAAATAATTTAAATTTCCGGGAGAAAACTACAAAAAAGTATATAATAAAAAGGATATTTTATGTCTCGTAAAATATCATGTTTCTCTCATCGAGTGACGGGGGGAAAGGAGATATTTTCACGAGTGGCGTGACACACGAAATATCCTCTATATCTACCTTTGTTTTAACTGCGGAATATTTGTTCATTTTAAATCTCTGGCTAAACTTGCAACAATCACCAGTTGCAATAAGGGAAAGGTGTGAATCCTGCTGGGGAACCACGCAGGTAGCATATGTACCATAAGGGGCCTTGGTCCCTAGTAGGGTGACCTCAACTTTGTTGCTGGCGATCTATGGCCCCGTTGTTATATGGTGTCGTTACACAATAATATATGTTTAACGCTCTACAACCACTTTTAAGTCAGTCTGTGATATATTGCAAGTTATAATACTGTCCTTCGCTGACATTATAAAATGTGACTTAAAATATAACACACTCACTCACATAGATTTTATCAAAGAGCTAGTCCACTTTTTCGCATATTGTTTTCTCAGTGAACGTAGGATGACATTTGCTTTCATTTTAGACGAATTGTTTAGAACCTCTGAAGATAGAAATATAACTATATCTATGGTCACCACCTGTAGTAGGCGAGTGAGTGAGTATGGTTTTACGCCGCTTTCAGCAATATCCCAGCAATAACATGGCGAGGGACACCAGAAATGGGCTTCACACATTGTACCCATCATGAGATTGGAACCCGGGTCTTCGGCGTGACGAGCGAACGCTTTAACCACTATGCTACCCGACCGCCCCACATGTAGTAAAAATGACCCATGGATCAAGGAATGACGGTTTTCCTCTAAGTTTGTCGTGTGGGATAGTGGTGTACAATTCTGAAAGAGCTTGGTTCTTTTCTGAGGTTGTAAAATTCAGGCAAATCCTTAGAGTTTTCACGAATCATGGCGCAATAATTTAAACATGTATGTATATCATTTGTTAAATTATTTTGAGCTTGTTCTTCATTCAAAGTGCATACGAACTGTAACAACATGAGAGAAATTCTTTACATTGCATGGTATTGGTAATTACTAATACTGGAAAGTTAATACCTGGTGATATTTTGTTGTGTAAATTACACTCTTAAAAAAACAACACACAGGTTTTTTTGTGAATTCCAATTAGATTTTTTTTGTAAACGTTTATCAGCAAAAATGCAAAGGATGCACGGAAATTGCTTTCAGAAAAGGTTTTCAGCACAATGCACGTGCAAGGTGTTGGAAACAAGAGTAGAGACACTGACTATAAAAGACCATACAAAATTCATCAATTCATTTCGAATTTTCTGACCTGAACGGAGATCGAAAAATGCCAAGATTAACTGCAGCTGACCGAAATATCGCCATTGGACGTTTGGAAGCAGGGGAGTCCCAGGCTGCCGTTGCAAGACACTTCAACGTTCACCAAAGCACCATATCTCGACTATGGGATCCATATACCCGCACAAATTCGACTCAAGATCATCCCAGAAGTGGAAGACCAAGAGTGACCATCCCTGCTCAGGATCGGTATATCCGTTTGCATCACCTTAAGAATCGATTTCATACAGCAACGGACACTTCAGGAAAAGTGCCTGTTATGCATTTACTGGGACAAATAATTAGTAGGCCGCCCTCCCCAGCGCAATACCCAGCCCACCCTACCGTTGAATAACAAATGGTCGGTCTCTTGGTGATGACAAAAATAAGACTTACCCATAATTGTAATTAAACCTGCTATCCAACTATAAGGTAAGGTGGACGCAGTATCAGTGACTGCTGACTCTCTGAGTAGTTCTGCCGTACATCAGTAATCCCATGGTCACCTGTCAAGAGTGGACATCACAGAATATATCCGTATAAGGAATAGATCCAGGTGCGACAACATCTGATGAAGCAATCAACCATTTAACTGCTTCCACAATCGTCAATAAACGTTGCTGGATCACATCTTTACATGCTGGCAACAAAGGCGACTCGACTTCTCAGTTCATATCACTTCACAGAAACATGTCAATAATAACAAGAACTCGTAGGTTGTGCCTTGGAATTTAAAACGAAAGTAGAATTAAATATTCTAAAGAAACACTTCAATTCAACTGTTTGAAAAGAGGCGTAAGTGTGTCAGATATAACAGGCGTTGATATTTGTATCAGGTAATGCGTTTCCATTTGATAGTGACTAATAAACCCAAGCTTATAATACAGTCGGAATCGTTCAAGGGACGTTTATTGTAATTTGTCAAATGTCATTCCCGGTTGTATCTACACGCTACACTTACATATGAGACAATAGTGTAGGTGTGGTGATGTGACTGTCTGGGCAACCAGTCCGCACATAAAGATAAAAATACTGATTGTATCACATATAACTGTAACTTAATACCGGTATGTACAATCTATACTGAATGTAAATCAAAGAGTACCTTAATGAAGTGTCAGCCATTCTAAAAGGGATCCTGTTTGTACAAGGAAGTCATGGTTGACGTAGCAAAGCGCATACGTTATCACCATAAGAGCTATTTTTAGCCATGACTATATCTGTATCACTTAGTTATCTCTGCTCCGGGTGGAGAGACGTGTTTTGTGTTTCAGTCTATTCGAGGCGAGCTGTGTACTCTTCGTGCGATCGGGTGACGAGTCGATATTGTTGTAAATGAATGTGAGAGTGTGAGAATGTGACTTTGATTCAGCTCTACTTGCTTAACTGATTCCTGTCATAAAGATGATGTACGCCTCTCTGTAGTGGGCCTAGATAGGGTGAATTTATTCCCCTGAAACTGGTTCAAAACTGGGTCACAGAAAGCCAAATAGAAATTCATCTTACAACTCCGTAGCCCAGTCAGCCTTTCACCGGTATGCAAACCAACCAAACTGAAGATGGGACTTGCCCGGGAATTGTTGAAGCAGCATTGGGACAAAGCTATGCCAATGTATGCATAACTGACGGAACAAAACATCCGTGACCAGCCCCGGCGACTGAAATGATATATGCGCCGTGAAGCTGGTGAGCTAACTGCCAACACTCGTCAAGCGCCTATCCATGAACCCTCAGTTCCAAGAGAAGCAGATGAAGCAAATCAACTTTCGCATTATTCTCCCTACATTACCTGATGCAGTTGTCACTGATGACCCATGCATGGGCTCACAAAATTAAAATCCCGATGGCCTCGAAGATTTTGATTTTTCTCCCGATTCCTACCCCTCTTCTGTAAATGATCTTTCAGATGATACGGTGTATATTTTGTTTATGTCATTCTATGATCAAATCTGTGATTTACCAATTAAACAAGTTAAGTAATTATTTCCACAGAATCAACTTGATAAATTAAATGACATTATTTCTGTCACTATCAATGCAGACTGTTCCTTGCATGACATTAATTAACTGTTGCGTGTATGCTGCTGCTCGAACATTGGAGAACTCCATACAGTTTCCACAGACGATGAACCACAAAAGGGTAATAAACAAAATCATCAAAAGAAAACCGGGTACCAAATAAAACTTGAAACAAGGAAAAGTCAAAGCCACACATACTTTTGCTGTACAAGTCCTTTCGTATTCTTTTGGTGTTGTTGATTGGACGAAACAAGAAATTCAAGGTATTGACACCCTCACACGAAGAATCATGTCAGAGAATAGATCCAATCGCTTTTATCTACCAGTTATAATGGGAGGTTCATTTACGTGGAGGCGCTTCATGATAGTATTGTAATGTGTACTTTTGCACACATTCATTTATCTGATCATCCCCTTGTGCAGCATGTCAAGACATGATGAAAACAAGGCATTCCACAGTTTACTTAAACGAGCAAAGGATGTTGGACATAATCTCAATATCAATGTGGATTTTGTTGATGGGTCTGTACTGCTGGACGGTACCGAAATGAGTGTCAACAAAGCAAAGTGCCATGTGAAATTGACCCAAACTCGGCTTTTCAGGGAGAGGCTATCTGAACAACGACTGAGTCGAGTTTATGAGCAGTTTGTTGAGAAGAGTACTTCGCTTGGATGAAGTCGGCTGGCCTGAAAAGTGAAACAGAATGCTCTCTGTTTGCTGTGCATCCAAATGTAAATATGAAATGTAAATTATGCAATGAATGTAATGAGACTGTCCAACACATTGTCAGTGGATGACGAGCTTTGGCACAAACACAGAATCTTAAGTGACATGATAGTGTAGCTCGATCATTTCATCACCGTCTTCGCAATGCTTGTTGTTTTCAGACACAGGTCCATCCATGTTACGACCCAGAATATATAGAGGGCGTCATTGAAAATGATAAAACAAAATTCTTTGGAATAGGCACGTATACAGCCTCAGATCTATCCAGGCCAACAAACCGAACCTTGTACTTTATTTTTATAAATCCAATAAAATCATTTATAATTGAATTTTCTGTCCCGTTTGACACTATAATTTGATTGACAAGACTCAGAAAAAAACATGGCAAAAATGCGGACATCGCTTTCGAAATGTCACGCAAGTACAAAGTTGTTCGACTCCCCATTGTTTTTCGGTGCCTAAGGTTGGGGTACCTCCAAATCCGTTGACAAATACCCCAGTGGATGTAAGAGGATTGACACATAACAGTGGATGTAAGAGGATTGGCACATAACAGTGAATGAAAGAGGATTGACACATAACAGTGGACGTAAGAGGATGGAAACATAACGGTGGATGTAAGAGGATTGACACATTACAGTGGATGTAAAAGGATTGACACATAACAGTGGATGTAAGAGGATTGACACATAACAGTGGAAGTAAGAGGATGTACACATAACAGTTCATGTAAGAGGATTGACACATAACAGTAGATGTAAGAGGATTGACACATAACAGTGGATGTAAGAGGATTGACACATAACAGTGGATGTAAGAGGATTGACACATAACAGTGGATGTAAGAGGATGTACACATAACAGTTCATGTAAGAGGATTGACACATAACAGTAGATGTAAGAGGATTGACACATAACAATGGATGTAAGAGGATTGACACATAACAGTAGATGTAAGAGGATTGACACATAACAATGGATGTAAGAGGATTGACACATAACAGTAGATGTAAGAGGATTGACACATAACAATGGATGTAAGAGGATTGACACATAACAATGGATGTAAGAGGATTGACACATAACAATGGATGTAAGAGGATTGACACATAACAATGGATGTAAGAGGATTGACACATAACAATGGATGTAAGAGGATTGACACATAACAGTAGATGTAAGAGGATTGACACATAACAATGGATGTAAGAGGATTGACACATAACAATGGATGTAAGAGGATTGACACATAACAGTAGATGTAAGAGGATTGACACATAACAGTGGATGTAAGAGGATTGACACATAACAGTAGATGTAAGAGGATTGACACATAACAATGGATGTAAGAGGATTGACACATAACAGTGGATGTAAGAGGATTGACACATAACAGTAGATGTAAGAGGATGGACACATAACAGTGGATGTAAGAGGATTGACACATTACAATGGATGTAAGAGGATTCACACATAACAGTGGATGTAAGAGGATTGATACATAACAGTGGATGTAAGAGGATTGAAACATTACAATGGATGTAAGAGGATTCACACATAACAGTGGATGTAAGAGGATTGATACATAACAGTGGATGTAAGAGGATTGAAACATAACAGTGGATGTAAGAGGATTGACACATAACAGTTCATGTAAGAGGATTGACACATAACAGTGGATGTAAGAGGATTGACACATAACAGTGGATGTAAGAGGATTCACACATACCAGTGGATGTAAGAGGATTGATACATAACAGTGGATGTAAGAGGATTGATACATAACAGTGGATGTAAGAGGATTGACACATAGCAGTGGAAGTAAGAGGATGTACACATAACAGTGGATGTAAGAGGATTGATATATAACAGTGGATGTAAGAGGATTGATACATAACAGTGGATGTAAGAGGATTGACACATAGCAGTGGAAGTAAGAGGATGTACACATAACAGTGGATGTAAGAGGATTGATACATAACAGTGGATGTAAGAGGATTGATACATAACAGTGGATGTAAAAGGATTGATACATAACAGTGGATGTAAGAGGATTGATACATAACAGTGGATGTAAGAGGATTGATACATAACAGTGGATGTAAAAGGATTGATACATAACAGTGGAAGTAAGAGGATGTACACATAACAGTGGATGTAAGAGGATTGATACATAACAGTGGATGTAAGAGGATTGACACATAACAGTACATGTAAGAGGATTGACACATAACAGTTCATGTAAGAGGATTGACACATAACAATGGATGTAAGAGGATGGACACATAACAGTGGATGTAAGAGGATTGATACATAACAGTGGATGTAAGAGGATTGACACATAACAATGGATGTAAGAGGATTGACACATAACAATGGATGTAAGAGGATTGACACATAACAATGGATGTAAGAGGATTGATACATAACATTGGATGTAAGAGGATTCACACATAACAGTTCATGTAAGAGGATTGACACATAACAATGGATGTAAGAGGATGGACACATAACAGTGGATGTAAGAGGATTGACACATAACAGTGGATGTAAGAGGATTGATACATAACAGTGGATGTAAGAGGATTGATACATAACAGTGGATGTAAGAGGATTGATACATAACAGTGGATGTAAGAGGATGGACACATAACAGTGGATGTAAGAGGATTGACACATAACAATGGATGTAAGAGGATTGACACATAACAATGGATGTAAGAGGATTGACACATAACAATGGATGTAAGAGGATGGACACATAACAATGGATGTAAGAGGATGGACACATAACATTGGATGTAAGAGGATTGACACATAACAGTGGATGTAAGAGGATTGATACATAACAATGGATGTAAGAGGATTGACACATAACAGTGGATGTAAGAGGATGGACACATAACAGTG